CACCCTCCCCTAGGAATACCCTGACTACAGAGCAGGCGACCCGTTTTTCCTCGCGTTAGATTGCGGTGACCACGTACCGTACGGAGGTCACAGGACGTCCGTGAACAATAAAAAGGAGGAAAACAACGATCTACTCTGTGCACGCTTCATCCCCGATTTCCATGACCCCAAGGCCGAAGGACGTTTGTGTGAAGGATAACGATAAAATAAAACTTTGCGTCAAAAAAAAAAAAAACCCGTTTAAAAAAAAAAAAAAGTAGAAACAAGCACAACGCGTTGACGGACCGCGAGGTTGTGGAACAGCTCGCGGTCCGCTTGCCACAGGACGGTTGTCTTCGACCCATAGCTCCAAGGTGAATTTGCCACTTGCGAAAACACGGAGACCTACCCAGCGAGAACCAGGAAAGCAAGACACGCACACTGACGCCTCGGCGTGCAGAATGAAACAGGATACGGGCGCGGAATACGGCCGCGGAAGAACACCTCGCACAGTGCCGATCCGGCCGATCTCCGAACGGACGATTTCGCATTTCGTGGACAGCGAGCGCCACCGCACGGGAGAGAGAGGTACCTTAAAAACGACGAAAACAAGCACCGACACCTTGGTTCTTTATATATGCTGTAGTTACGGAACAAATTGACTTACATGAATAATTTGAATATTATTCGATTCCGTAATAAATTTAGAAGACATTAAGCGCAATACTTGTTATGTTTGAATTTAGATAATTTTGTAAATTCGCTCCGAACGCAAAAGTGCCGAATTAGCCGATTTTGACCATTCTCATGATTTTTTAAAGAATATAATTAAATTTATGATGAAACATTTGTTGCGCTTAGTGTCTCGATAATGACTCAATGTCTTTAAAGCCGAAATTTTCAAGAAGATCCGCGCAGCCGTTATTATGTGAGAACTTTTTTAATTTGGCGAAAAACCTCATGTATTTTCTATGGGGCTCTGAGGTGCGCCCCCTCTTAACAAGGTTGTGTATGCTTACCTACTCATGCTTGAGATAAAACTGTCAATAAAAATGTTTTTCACTCTCAACAAAACATTCCCGAAAGCGTCGCATTCTGCTGTTGTACCGTATTTTCTGGACTATAGTCCGCAGGGGCGAATTTCGGGTACAAAATAAGTTTTTGCTTACGTTATCCGCACCCGGTGCTTAGTCGACACGAGTATATTCTCATAGACGGCACACCTTGAGAAATGCCTGCTTTCTTAGCTCACAAAAAAAGCCTATATTATACATACACCATCATTAACATATCTTTTTCATTCACAAAATCCGCCTCGTCTCGTCATAATCAACGATATTGAAAAGCAAAAATCTTGTATAATCCGCACAATCTAAAAGTTCAACTTTTAAACGCGTATAGTCCGCCGACTATAGCCCGGAAAATATGGTATATTCCTGGAAACGCTTGAAAACATGCAACATTTTGTTTATTAACTTATGTGTCCAAGAAATATTATGAAACAAACTTTATTCAATGAAGCAGCTACACTGACAGGCATAGATTATTTTTGCAGAAAACAAAAACTGTTCTAAAAATGGCAACATATCATGTATCACTCGTGTTTTCTTTGCTACACAACATTTTCCTCCTAAAATGTCCCACAAAAAAAAAGTATGAATCAAGCACCCACCTAATATTTGGACATCTTGAATCTAAAAGAGAATTTACGTTTTTATAACTGTCCATCCAACTGAACATTGTCATGAAAATTCGACTAAAATTATGTGCAGTCATCTGCATAGGAGACATTTATGCAGGAGATTTAGTCTAGGCTAGCCTTTTTTCGTTTTCAACTTTTTGCCCCTCTTTCTGAGAGAATCTCGCGGCACATTATTGTTCAAACTCGCGGAAAAGTAGGTCCATTAATTAGCAGGAAGCAGGGGCAGGTCCCAGTAACTGCAACCTACTGCCTAGGTGAAGTGGGACAAAACTACATGGCAATAAATCCACGAGGTCTTTGTTCAGGTCGTGCCCTGGCGTTTTAGTTCCCAACTGTTGAGGCAGGCTGATGCAGGAAGCGTGTTCAGCAATACTAAGAAAATTAAGAAAATCGTCGGCACAGGGTACTTTCAATAAATAAATGCCTCGCACCGGTCCGCCACTCCAACCAAGCGAGGACCTGTAGTTGCAAATGTACGCGGGGGTCTTATATCTTCCCGAAATTATCCGCCTGTGCCCGCACGATCCCCAACACATTAATATTTCTTGGTGGATGAAGAAAGAATACACAATTAAGACTGTGACAACATAACCACATCTTTCAACTAGCAACAGACTATTAAAAATTCCCACAGCAAGCAGCCGGCTAAACCCAGGAGGGAAAGGGGGGAGAAGGGGAGAGAAGGGGAGATAAAAACGCGAAGAGCAAGTCAAGTGAGTTTATCCGGGATTTCAGAAATTCAACCTCAGTTTTCGTCAGTAGGAGGGAAGGGTTTGACACGTTATTGTTTGTTGTGGTCATGGCGAATGACTCTATGATCTCCCTGCCGAATCGGCAGGGAGATCATAGAGTCATTCGCCATCGGCAGGGAGATTATAGGGTCGTTCGCCGTGACCGCAGAAAACAATAACTTGACAAACCCTTCCCTCCTGTTGACAAAAACTGAGGTTGAAGTTCTAAAATCCGAGGTAAACCCACCTCTCTGACTTGCTATGCGTTGTTATCTCCCCTTCTCCCCCCTTTCACTTCTGGGTTTAGCCGGCTGCTCGCTGTAGGAATTTTTAATCGTCTGTTGCTAGTTGAAAGATGTGGTTGTGTTGTCCCAGTGTTAATTCATTATTCTTTCTTCATCCATCACTTAAACCAACACGTTTGTCTCCCAAGTATAATATTTCTTCGACGTGAACGAGCCCGAAAAGCTATCCCACTCGTAGCCTCTAGCGCGAGAACGTAGTCTGCCGGTGGTTCAGCGACCAAAAAATAGTATCCCGACGCCTTAACAGGACTCACGGGAACAGAAGTTAATTGTGATTAGTAATATTTCTTTTAAGAGGAGAAGGCACAACGTTATTTCAGCTCCAGATTTAAACAACTGACGCTCACCCGTAAAGTTATCTTGTATACGCCGCACGGCAGTACTTTCGAGGCGGGCCCCACTGTGGCGGACCCTCCTCGTTGGTGGGGAAATCAATCGCTATCTCGGCGGAAGATGCGTGTTATTGAAGCTTCTGTATCGTTTCTTGACTCATCATGCGAAATAATTCTCGCACACTTTCTGTCCTCTTCTATATCTTCAGCGTACGCTCGAAACACCTGCGACACCAATGCAACGCGACCGACGGAACACGACCATGTGTTGTGTTGCGGTGGCGCTGCCATCGCAATTTCGAAGTGCCCCCTGGTTGGGCGCATCAATTCTATGGTGACGTCAGAAGGCCGAGCTCTGATTGGCTCTGATTGAGGGATAGTGGGTAGACCTCAAGGCAGCTTGCTTTGAGGTCTACCCACTATCCTACAATCAAAGCCAATCAGAAATCGGCGTCGTTCTGACGTCACCAGAACCCCTATGCAAGAAGCAGACGACTTGCTTTACTCCTGTGGTGGAAAAACACATTCCTCACGTTCTCTGCTTTAAAAGTGTAGCTTTCATTATAGTGCTCGTGGGCACACACTTCTTCCTGATATTTTAACTTGCTCGACTCACGGAAGCCTTCAGGGAAAGTCCTCACTTGTTCGTCCAAGGCCCCTTTGGTATCTCACCTAGGGGTTGATCACGAGAAGGGGGGGGGGGGGGGGCCTAAAAAAATAATAAAATTATATTTAACACCGCGTACTCTTTTATACTATTTGAATAATATTTTTGTCAAGTGAAATAGCTTCAGTGTCTATAATGTATCAACATTACAATTTTCCAGAAATACTCGTATGAACACAACGCAACAAACGAAGTCGAAAAGTAATGCTGTGCGGGACAACAGCTTTTTGTCATGACACATCGGCAAAAGTACCAGTGCAACCCTAACGAGTGTAAGCTACCGATAAACTATGCGATAATCGCAAACTTCATGAAACACGAAGTGTTGAAGTTACAAGACGTGTTCCTAAGGAAATTGCACATTCAACGATTTGGGCACACCAACACCGCGGCTGTGTTGTTTCGGTCATTCCCGTGGACAATTTCCTCACAGCGACGTAGCAAGAGGTGCATAATTGCGCTTGAACGTATTCTCGTAGAGCGAGGTTCGTCATGTACCGCATTAGCCTGACTGAAAATACGGACCGGCGAAGCGAGGGTGTTATAAAATTGTAGTACAAGTCTCGGGGACTGTTCTCGAGGTCGCAAACAAATGCACGCAGTGAGCTGGCACGGCGTTCGGAGTACTGACGTCACCGTTGCGACGCTTTCGCTCGCTCCCCGTGCCAGCAAAATCGTAATTGTTTCATTATTCGTTGTGTCTGATATGTAGCAACGAGAAAAAAAAGGTGCTTACTGCATCGCGCAGAAGTGTGGAGCAATCCACGACGACGTGAGCAATGGCGGTGCAGAAACGATAGCAGACGACAAATGCGCAACCCGGCGAAACCGAAACCGAAACCGAAACAGCCCGTTGCCAGTTTCCTGCTCCTAGAGTGCACTTGAAATGCTAGGGGCGCTGCTATTTTCTATATTGTCCGTTCTAACCTCTCAGGCAGTAGTGTCTTTCTTTTCTCCTTCTTCTTCTTCTTCTTTTCTCACACTACCAAACTTCAAAGTCAAATAGACACAGAAAAATAGCTTTCTTGTTTCTCTCTTATTGTTTTCCCGTCCAACCGTTGTCCAACCCTCGTCGGTGAGCCACTGCCGCCTGGTGATAGAGGTGATAATTACAAAAGTGCGGAGGAGCCACTAGAGATATTATACTTTTTATTTCTATGGTAGGTGACGCAAGCTACCGCCTGGTATAAAGGTTGGAGGCATTAGTTATTATTGTTGATCTATTGCTCCAAATTTCCCGACCTCGAAGCATATCTCTATGCCTATCTCTATGTCTATCTCTATGGCATCGTATCGTTGTGTCCGCAGTCTGCACGCATGTGTTTTGCACCGTGGTTGTTTTTGCTTGACTGCGGTTTGTTTGTGACGACTGCACAACATGGCAAGCCCAAAAATACACGCGTACATCGAGTTGCCAGTTGATCACACGCTTTTCGATGTCAAATGGATTCCGCACAGCGCCAAATGCCTCGCGCTCGGGCGCCAGCCGAACGGCCGTGGACTTCTCCGCGTGTACGAGATGAGCGGACAACGTTTGCAGCAGGTTCAGGAGGTGGGTACGGTGTGCCGCACAGGCTGCAGGATGGATAGGCTGCTGGGCACGGCGGACCCGAGGTAGTCCGCTTAGTCATGCAGGCCAAGCAGTGTGACAGTAATTGCTACGCATTTTTCGATCAAAAGCTGTGCGCCGCTGTTCACCGCCGATAAAGAAAAACGAAATACTAATCCAGGGAGAAGTCGAGTCTGGTCTGGATAGTGCACTTTGGTACAGTGTACTAGAATACGGTGTAGTGTTTGAGCCTGTAGACAACAATCGCGGCGCTGCAGTTGACAGGGTAGCAGAAAGTCGCGTGCCGCCGCACGTGCGCGCGGTGCACGCGCACAACCACCACCATACTGGCTACATTTACATGCATGCGATCGTAGCGCATCGAATCGAGCAGGAACCAATCGCACGCAGCCTGTCTTCCTACTTCTTCCTCTTCTACCTATCTGGTACCAATCAAAATAGTCAAATCTCGATTCGATGCGCAACGGTCGCATCCATGTAAACGCAGCCACTGATCCTACTGCATCAGAGCCGTGTGCACGCGGGCAGAGCCAGGGCGTGCACCAGACTTACAAAGTGGGCTTGACATGCTCTCTTGGCCAACCTGGGCCCGTTTGCTCGAAGCCGGTTAACTTTAACCGCGGTTAAAAGTTAACCGCCCTTCCCTACTAGGTACCTACAAGCATACCTCGGCAAACCTCACTCATGAGGGCCCTCACTCACCCTCACTCACCCTCATCTTCACAAGTGAGGTGAGGGTGAGTGAGGGCCGTGAGGGCTGTGAGGGCCGTGAGGGCCGTGAGGGCCATGCAACTCGGAGCAATTCGAATGCGTTTGAAGCAGCTGCATCCGATCAGGGACGCAAAATTTTCACGTGATACCTCGTGCCAGTGATGATGACACCGAAAGACTTGGTTCTGGTTTGAAATCGATCGTTTTTTTGGAAATAAACTGTTTCAGAAAGGTGCATTAGTATTCTTAACGAGATTTAAATGCATAAAAACACTTTTATAATGCGTAATTGTGTCTAAATAGTGCAAGAAAAATAAAATTTTATGATGACGATGGCAAATTGCAGCAATTCGTTGCTGCGTGTGATCGCGGGCGGCCCGTGTTGCTGGTGTTGCGACGTAAAGTTTCTGGACGAAATTGCCCCATCTGAAGCTGGCCTGAGTGGCGTGAGGGCCGTCAGTGCGTGAGGGGCGTGAGGGGCGTGAGGGGTGTGAGGGCCGCAAGGGCGGTGAGGCGCGTGAGGGCGGTGAGTGGCGTGAGGGCGGTGAGTGGCGTGAGGGCCGTGAGGGCGGTGAGTGGCGTGAGGGCTATGAGTGCGTGAGGGCCGTGAGGGCGGTGAGTGGCATGAGGGCCATGAGTGAGTGAGGGCGGTGAGGGCCGTGAGGTTCAGTGAGGGTGAGTGAAGGGCTGAAGGTGAGTGTGACTGTGAGGGTGAGGGTGACTGAGGGGCTGAAAGTGAGTAGCTGTGAGGGTGAGGGGCTTAGGTGAGTGTGGCTGTGAGGGTGAGGGTGAGTGAGGGCGACCTAAAATGCCGACCTCTGCCTACAAGTACCTAGCCAAGTTTGACGAGGGCTGAATGAGCGATAGCTCCGTGTTTTATTATGGGGTGGTAGCTGGTGTCACCCACTGGCTGTAGCGAATATATGTGGCTTCCGTGGAAAGGTTCCCAAAATGGGGGGACCCGAAAAATGCGCGCTGCCTGGTTTTCGCGACGCAGCGCGGCATACATTGGAGCTTAAGAAACAATTTTTATTGCTCGTGGTACAAATAATCAGCAAGGTAAAACTAAATTAACCCTTGTTTGGAAATTTTCTAATATGTGACTGTCTGAAGTGAAGAAAAGCCTGGTTGAAATTTCCTTCCGAGTTCGAAAGAGGACGATGACGTTGAGTCCTAGAAACGATGAGAAAGAAGTGAGCAGTGAAACGTGGGCAGTACACCGGCAGCATGGTTGGCCAGCATGTAAGAACTGTATATAACACCGTCATAAATCGAAAAACCTGTAATTCGGCTCCACTGAAAATTGACCTATTAGTAATTACCCGAACATCGAGAAGAACGCTGAAAGTGTAATTCTATGACACGCGCGCGCTGGCCATCCACTTATAAAAGATTTGAAGTAAATAATCATAATAAATCTTTGACGAACGCACGTGCACGGCAAAATTTGTTTTAGCCTTTTTGCTTCAGAACTGCTATTACTGCAGACGCCAGCACGTGCAGCGCGTGTAACTACACTCGTAGCATGCACCTCAGTGCTTTTGAAATTTAGCGAAAGGTCTATGGGAACGCTCTCTGCTTTTGTGTGCTATCAATACCCGGCCGATTGAGTTAAGGCAATCCACTTTCCAAAGACGTTGCCATGCCGACAACTATCGTGTTCATTTAGGCTTAGGAATGGCCAGAGTCGAAAGTCTATCTAAAAAATCCGGCGAGGTCATTGCTCATGTTTTGCGTTTTAAGTAAGGTAAGGCAACGCGAAAACCTCCTGCACCATTCATTGCTGACTAACGCGCCCGCTACTGCAGCTACTACGACGTATTAGTTCCAAAGCGAGCGGCGCTCACTCACCGGGGCACCGCCATGTTTCCCCGCCGTCCTTACTCTGCCGGTCACGTGACCCGAAATTCCCTATCGTAGGGAAATCCGGTTAACCGCAGTTAGTTAACCAGCTTCGAGCAAACGGGCCCAGATGCCTAAAAGAATCCCCTAGCGGTGGTAGCTAGAAACTGTTTGAATCAAAGGTATATATTGGTATATGGTTTCAATAGGTGCTTAAGAGTGAAGTGTAGTCGCCCTTCATGGGTTGAAAATAGGGTGCACGCGATGTTTCGATCATGGTCATGCAAAAAGATGTAAGAAACGAATGTGCCGCTCAACTCTGTTTTGCTCGGACAGAATGTGACCGCTCAGGTGACAGTTTCTCGGCGCTTGGTGTACATATTGTGTCGATCGTTCCGCTAGTCGCACTCTCCCACCATGATTTTGGATGACGGTGATTGAAACATCACGTGCACCATATTTTCAGTCACCGAGAGTTACTCCGGCGCACTTATTAAGTTTGTTTCTCGTGACCACCGCCAGGGTATTATTTCCGGCTTCTGGTTGGCCACATTTGAATTTGTGAAGACGCCCTGGAACACGCCCAACCCGCTTTCGGCTAATGGTGCCTCCTCATTTGTCTCCTATACTTCTTCAAAAATAGCCAAACTCACTACATATACGGCTCTGTACTGCCTATGCGCCGGTGTCGACACCTATCGCAATCCACTCCACACGCCTCACGTGTGCTGCTCCGGTCTCATCACTCTAGGCCTGTAGCTCTCAAGTTTTGAGGAGCGCTCCAGGTGAGAAAAATATAATACTTGTAGCTCACGTTTCGCAGATGCGTCACTACGCTTCCCCACTCCAGTTCTTTTTATAATGTGTTCCATTATAAGAGCCAGCTTAGCAGAGGCTACGAGAGCGAGCTCCGATCATTTAGTGTTCCTGCCAAGCATGCGTGCTCGTGCAGTGCGAGCATCGTTCAGGGGAACACGCTTTTGCAAGCAACATTGCAAATTCGCTAGTATCACACAAAGGGAAACATACGTGTTCACGTGAGCTATGAAAGAAAGCCATGCAAATAATAAAGCTGAAAGGAATGTTTAATGGGACGCTGAGGTTGCAAGCTACATAATTATATTTTTTTTACTTAAATTTTTTTTTTTTTTTTTTACGTTTTGTTATTGCGTATTTACAGATGTTGACAGATGCTTGTATACACCAACTCGACTTTCTCACGTCACACCGCAGTAGTGGTGCTTGGGGCGCATTCAGGTGTAGGAGTGTAGGCGAAAGTCACCATGTGGGACGTGCATTCCTGCATTGTTTTGAAAGAAACCAGACAAAAACCTGCCTTGTCAAAACGCCGTGACTGGGGCTGTACCAAAAGTGTCGAGAAAGGTTTGTAGTCAGCTTTCATGTGCTCGGTTCGTCTGGGAAGATGGATGTGCCGTGAAAAGGGAAAACCAGATGCCATCGGACCACGAGTGCTTGGGCAGGTATTCACAGACACTTTTAGTCAGATTTACTTTTTCCAACATGAACGCGGGAAAATAGTTATGTTTTACAGACCACCTGCAGACTACGTTCAGTGTGTCTTCAAATTCAAATGGCCGCCTCATTGTTCGCTGTCGCCTGTTCTTTCAAACGTTTCTGCTTGTCTGAAAGAGCAGATGACACCGGCCCGTAGACCAAACATTGGCCTGGTAATTGCGATAAAAAGTAAGTGCAGGCTTGAAAAGTCTTTTAAGTTTGAAGGTTGAAAATTAAGCAAGCGCTTCTTGAGCCAAGGACTATGTTAACCCGCTGGTGCCCCACTAAGCAGCTGATACTCGTATTCCAATTCAGGTTTTAGTAGCAATCGAGAAGTCATTTTGACGAGCGGGTTATGTATTATATTACGTACTATGTCCCACTAAAGCGATATTAGTATATTCTTCGGGTTGAAATATGAGCTTAGTTGACTAGCTATTAGATGAACTGCTGAATAAACGTATATTTGGCAGACAGAGAGATACTACGTAAACTTAGCCAAATGGTTCTAGCCACCAGCACGGAGACAAACTGAAAAGAGTCTTCATCGGAGATTCACGCAGAACCTCTCTGGGCATTGAACTTTGCTTCAAATCCTGAACAAAGAAAATAAGTATTTTTTTGTAGCCGGTCAACCTGAGCAATGTAGACGTATGTGGCTGCTGGCTTTGACGGGTGTATAATATGAATATTAGAGGCGCGATAAATCAAAATGCCGTGACAGCTTCTAACGTTGCAAGACTCGTCCCCCACCTTTTGAAAACGGATCATTTCCCTCATTCATCATTTGCAGCGAGCAGGTTTTCCTGAATTAAGTAATTGCGAAATCAGCCCAAACTCCTTCAGTGTGGTCCACAGTCTTTTTCAACGAAAAGCAGCCAAGATGAATAGCCAACGAACCGACCGGCGTGGGTGGCTCAAACTTTAAGCTGATCAAACACAACCAAACTCAAGAAAAGCAGTTATTGAACCTTCCCATTCACTTGACCGCAACATTGGTGTTCTCTCCAGTGAAACACCTTGTCTGTCGTCCTCAGTCCACTGTTCTACATCCTTATAAAGAAACCACTTATCAGTTAGCAAGTAGTCGTCACTTTGAATGTGATTCGAGACAAACAAGAAATCAAAACCCTTTTCCGTGATTCCTTTCCATCCAAGAAATCGAAAGCACGCAACCTTGTGTTGTGGAGTAAACGGGCTTTCGAACACGTGATGGAAGGAAACAATCTACTGAGGCTTCACCACACTAATAAACACTCAGGCAAACTTAAGAAATTTTTTAACCTTCGTTAAATTACACTGTTCGCCACCGCGCCGACAACTTGTGTCCACGAAAGCCACCAGAGACGCGGAGGGGCGCGGAGCGACCTGGTCCGGCTGGTTCCCGGTTTCCCCGCTTGGTGGCGTCCGTTTTGCTGGAGTTGCGAATTGCGCATGTATGGGTCTGGTGACATGTCACTTGGGGTGCTCTGGCTTATTTGTAAACATGAGTTGGTGTATAGGACGTACTAAAAACACTATTTATTTGTTTCCATAATATATGGGCCGTTTTAGACACTTGGGATCAAATAGACGGGAATAGTATATTTTTTAGAGCATCAAATTCATTTATCTTGATTGGTTTCTAATATTCCCCGAACTGTGCTAAGATCGCTAGATCATGAGTAGTGAGAAATTTTTCATAAAGTCGGTGAGGCAAGCGCTGCGCCATTTGTGCCAAATTACGCCTCGGAAGAAAGTCTGCTACATCTTGCGGCAAAATGCCATTTTTGCTCAGAATTTCACTACACCTGCTCCGAGATAAGCTTAAAGAAAAAAAATTAGTAGTTTATTATTGGTCGACCCTAATATTCGAAGAAGGTGAAGGAAAGAAAAATTGTACAAATAGGAATTTCACAGCATCTCTACTCACCATATAGTTTGTTTTGCCTTAGGTCAAAGCACAGTCGAAGGCTCTAACCCATACACGCATACTAAACGTGCAAGTCACGGGACATTCGCTGCACTTGGTTGGTATAGCCGATGAAAGAAAGCATACAAGGAGATTATGAATGCCACGATGTCATGTTTGGACGCTGCGAATCAACCAGCCAGAGCCGTTGATGCTTGACATCAACTGCTCTGGCCGGTTGATTGCCGACATCGTCTAAATTTCTGGACGATGGCGTCGATATCAGGAACTGCAAGTCCCGAGAAAAATTTGCAAAATAGGGTTGCCGATTGCGGCTACAGTGATTAAACAGAACCAGGGTCTTGTACTCCTGATAACATCACTCGATTATTATGTATGCCACCTGCCTTCATCTCGTTGCCGCAGAGTACCATGGCACTTGCGTTGCTCGCATAAACCTTCACCGCTTCTCACCAGCGTGCGCGCGTCGAGCTTTACTGCTTTGCACCGGAGCGCTAGGAGCAGCAGCTGACCTGGGGGACTGCCTCGCATAGCACAAATTATGCTCGGGATTATTACGGGTCAGCCTTTTTTGTCCAAATTGTAAATTAATCTTTAATTTAAAAAGAAGGAAACGACAAGCAGAGAAGGAGAGAGAAGAAAACATGGGTCTGGTCATATTTTATTAAATATGGTAGCATGGTAGTTTCCATGCGGCTGTCGATCGAAAGAGCATTGAACTTTGACGTAACTCTGGTTCCTATGCCGCTAAAGAGCAGTGTCACCTTTAGGGTGCAAATGTAGGCCTTTAGAATATTTTTGGGTGGTTGTTTCTGCAGTTGATGATATTAAGAGTCTTGAGTTTGGTAGGTTCATTAAACTTATGGGACACATTTTTATTGGTAGACGTGTTAGGGATATGCTGGTTTTTGCTGGCATTTTACAGAAATTATATTTACGGGCTCAACAAACTACCGAGTGTAAAATGGGGGAGGGGAGAAAAAATTGGGTTATGGGGATATTTATACAGCGTGTAGATGGTCAGCCATTAAAGTTGCGACGAGTGACATGCTGTAGATGAGCAATTTAGCCAATGCAGTACAACCGCTAGCCTGGGGTCTTTAACGTGCACCACGCAGTAGTGATACACGACCGCACGCTGGTACGATGCTCATCCAGATCGAAACGGGCAGGGCCGGGGATTGAACCCAGGATCCCTGGGGGGGAGGGGAGAGACGATTTATCCCAATGAAGTTTTGCGCTATGATTCACCTTTTAACCATTTTTAATACCCATTGTAAATTAAACATACTCTGACTAGAGCCTTATTTAAGAAGACTGTGTCCCTTTTACGCCTTATCTGTTCTTATCACAAACGGTAATAAGTAATGTGCTCCAGCATCTAAAAGGAACTCTTGATCACCAACATAAATTAACTCATTAAGAGGTGCAATCACTTTTTTATTCTCAAGTGATGTGCTAACAGATGTTGGCATCTGCTCCAAAAGCGTCAGTTGCTACTCCTAACATTTTGCCCGCTACAGAACCTGCTACGAAACATCAAGTGCCACTTCCATCACTGTAAAGTTGATTTTTTCTATGGATCTTTAAAAAGCACTGGGGTCCATCCCCGGCTTCCTTCCTTTTCTGGCAAGTTTAACTCTTATTTGGAAAACAGTCATCATAAATTTGTTTGAATGTTTCTATATACTTGTTATAAGCAGTATCTATGCCGACTAAATTAAATATATCACCCCAAGTACATAACCTCTCATTTACTTAGTACTTTTCTTCAAATGCTTTTACATGTACTTTACCTAAGACTGGTATCATCCCCTATCGCAGCTGTAACCTGAACCTAATCCGACCTAAGCCTGAAAACCAGCGCATGTTTCGTCTCAGGTCGAGCAGCCCCAAGGTATCAAATGCGGAACGTTCCGAGCATCCAGCTGGGAGGAGCGCAACATTGCCACGGCCGACTTCAAAGGACAGCTGTGCATCTGGTAAGAGCGTTTGTTTGGGCCCATCATGTTTGAAAAAAGAAACAAGTGGGCAAACAAATGTCCATCTTGTCTATTTTCAGGGACCTTGAGGATCCAGCAGAGCCCGTGACGAACGTTAAGGCACACAGGCAGATCATCAACAGCATCGACGGCATCGGGGGCTCAAACGATTCCCCGGTCGCACCATCACTGGTCACAGGAAGCAAAGATGGCAAGGAGGATTTTTTCCTGTTTAAACATAGCGGAGGTTATTCGTCTGCGTGTGGGCGGGGTCTTGCACTTGGGAGAGGCACGAGGTCTTGGCGGACCAGGGTGGTAATCGTAAGGTGAAGTGAGCTGTGGCTTTAGTTAGAGCTGGACTTCTCTTCTCATAACAGTATACTTCAGTGATGAAAGTGCTGGCCCATTTGCACCAAATAGCAACACGAACGAAAGTCTGCTTTTGGTGAGAATTGCACCACAGCCAAGTGGGCTTCGACAGTGAAAAATAATGAATTACGGTCGACCCTAATCTTCAGGGAACAGGAGAGAAGGAAAATGGTGCAAGCATGTATTTCATAGCGTCTCTACTTACTGTATAGTTTGCCTCATCTCAGGTCAAAACACAGTCGAATGCTCCAACAGATACAGCCATGAACACACACTCTCACCGAAGTGCGTGCGTCGAGCTTCACCGCTTTGCACCAGAGTGCAGGGAGCAGCGGCGTACATGGAGGAGCGCCTTAGTCATGGTGTAAGATACGTATAGGTCAGAACACACAGCACGCTGCAATGCAATCGACCAGATGAAGTCGTCTCAGCGCGTGCCCGAGTAGCCTTAGCCGACAATGTCTCCGCCGTCCGGACAGCACAACTGAGAAAAGAAATAAACAAAGCCAAAAAAGTGTTGTTTAAGGCATGCGCTTTTCCCACTTTTCACGTTTGCTCTGACCTCGACGGATGCTGGCTTGAACACCGTGCCGGTTCAACGCATTCATAAATCTTATTGCTGCCGTTGAGCCACAAAGCTAGGGCCAGTGACGGAGCAGTGTCTAAGCCACATGAGAGCACAAGTGCCAAGTTCTTCATGATGTGGTGCACCCAAGAAACTACTTTAAAAACAAGCTTGTCTCCCATAGAGAAGCATAGGAAACCAGGCCCGGTGAGCTAAAATCCTGCCGGGGGATTGAATTCTTTTTGCATGCTCCCCTACGGGTGTAACACTTTTCGGTGTCGTTACAGCCGGCCGTCACAGCCAAACATTACGGAACTCCATGGAAACCAGCTGAAAAAACACGGTGGACCAGTAACTATTGTCGGCCACTTTAAGTACCTTGGTGTTACCGTATCGGGAAGTATTTGCTTCAAATTCGATATTGACAATGGGACTACCGCATTATCTCCAGAGATGCCCCAGCCCCGAAAGATAACCCGCCCCTATTTATGGCGCGATTCGTTAATTTTTTAAAATAACCAAAAGATAGCTTACTTCTAGCGATTGCTGGGCCCTGGCCAATGGTGAGTTTGATAGAAATGGTGTTACTTAGCCACGGCGGGAGATGAGCGAACATTGTTGACTGGAAAGGACAGTCATTGTGGTTCATTGCCCCTCCCTGCAGTTACAAGTTTTGCAGGTCGCAAAATCTAAGATTAGCATTTTTTAATATCTTGATCGCACTCCGAAAGTTAGCCGACTCCTTGTTTTCACCCGATTTGCTGTCGATTTTAGTGGGGCAATAGTTCCGTAGAAAGAAAACTAGTTTCCAAGGGGTGACCTAAATTAGCGACTGAAGAGGTGAAGTTAGCTGCCTTTTTTTGACATTTGTCCACCCAGTGCTAGAATACACGAGCACCCTATGGGAGCCCTACAGAAAGAATCAAATAGACAAATTAAAAAAGGTGCCAAAGAAGTGCAGCAAGGTTTATTTCATCAAGGTACCAAAGGACAGACTCGGTCACTGCGATGCTCACTAAACATCCGACCACGAGCACAATTTCAGAAAACAGCCAGGCTTAAGGTGCTTTGCTTGCTACACACAAATCAGCTAAACATAGAAACACAGTGATAATTAAAACTGTGGTCGACTCGCAATCTTTGAGGCACTCATGGTAAAATAATAATGCCACTGAAAACCCGCAATGGCCCTTTCAAATATTATTTCTTTTCCTGCGATCCACAACCAGTGGAGCAGCCGGCCGCAAGGTGTTTTTGAATGTCTCTCTCTCGTAAGTTTTAAAGGTCAAACTGAAATAATTGGCTCAACAAAATATTCTTTGAATACTTTCTCAGTGGTTGCTCCTTGCACCTTTATTCAATGTTATCCGTGTTCATATGCGTAGGTATTTCATGCTTCGTAAATATTGCTCGTGGATGTGTGTGTATAAACATGTATGCTTGCTGAAAACTTACCCCGGTTACAGTCAGTAGGCCAACAGTATCAGTAAATTAGAAAAGAAAAGAAAAACAAAGAAATAATAATGATGGAAACACTGTCTGGATTTGAGGGATGCGAGACACAACTGCATTGTTGGACTGTGTGATCTTACAGGCAGGGCACACACTCAAAGCAGCAGGCTGCACTTTGCCTTTTTAAATTGGTCGTGGCCAAAGCACTTTCTTGCATTTTATTTAAATAATACAATGCACCATTTAAGGTCCCGGTAGGAGTGGGGTAAAGGTTTTTACAAAAACAAAATCAATAGCAAAGGAATGTGACTATATACATTGGTGGTAAAACAGGTTAAACAAGTCAAGTAAGAACTATGCAGCCATTTGAGCAAAAAAGAAGAGAAATCAAGAGAAAAAATATACATTTGAGCAAAAACAAGGAAAAAGACTACCATCAATTAGCATGTAACAAAATCAAACAATGAAAACAAGGTCTGAACAGATGCACTACATTGATTTATACAATGTAAGCTGCCTGCAAAAAGGGTGAACATGCAACGATTAAACAAAGCAGCCATGCTGCACAGCAAGCTGTTCAAGACTTTGAGCAATGTTAGTACAGTGTAAACCGCATATAACGTATGTCGCGGGAATCGCGAAAATCCGCACTATAAGCTGTACTGCGCTATAACCAAAACATCAATTTTTCAGGCCAAAATACATGCCATGAGACAACTTACCTTTGTAAAACAATTTATTTTATGTTAGATGAAAAATAAAGCTTAGTTTGAGGAAAGTCTTTATTTCATCAGACTAGTACACTTCTCTCTCAAGTGTGCCACACATTTTGAAAGAAATGAGCGACTTTCGCCTGGCGCAGCCTTTTAACGGCGTTGCGGGTTGCGGACGGACGTTGCGAGCGTTCAGGATTGCTAACCCTAATCACTTTTCTCCGGTGATGAAAACGCGTGAAAATTCGCATCCTTTATACAATACGCACCAGTAATACCTTCAACGTGAGCACAGGCATGAAATGCTCCAAATAAGAAATCCGGGCGATGTTAGAAAACACAAGTGCTTAAAAATCACCACTGTGGTCGAAGTAAACAAACATGACGACACGGGCGTTTCTGCCGTCTTGAGAGTGCCGCCACGACATCGCCGCACGAGTAGATGGATCTTCCCTTCTAGTACGTGCTGGGTTATTCGCTCACGCAACGAAAATTCACAGTCAAGGATAGCGCTTTTACGCGGAACGATGAGCTTCCTCCACGCTGTCTACGTCGACGACTACAACCGATGCCATGTTTGCGGATAGAAGCAGCTGGCCTGCGACCGGCATGCAACGTGCGCGAACACTTCTCCTCGACCTGCGATTGGTCTGTCGTTGCGGTTGTTTTCCAACGCAACGGAGGGACGCACGCACGTGAGCGCGTGCGTCCTTTTGTTGCTATGGCAACTGAAGCCTCTCTCTTCGCTTCTTCGAGCAACCTCCTTGCCTCGCGTCCTGCCCCGCGAGTGCCGCTTGCGGCTAGTGCCGTTATCTAGTGTCGCACAGGGAAGCGTGCTCGCTGCGTTGGTCGGCGCGGTCGGCGGGCTGTTTCAAAAACCGCTCTATAACCGGTATTTTCCTTCGCGCGTCTGCATTTTAAGTGGTATGTAATTACATGGAGTTCTATGGGAGGCGAACCGGTGGTTTAAAGAAGCTGCGTTATACCCGGTCCTGCACTATAAGCGGTTACGTTGTAAGTGGTCTATACTGTATTTATAAGTTCAAATAGTAGTATGAGGAAATAGTTGGAGGAAAAAAAGACAAATTTAAACATTTTACTATGTGCAAAGGTAGGGTAAGAGCAGGGCTGGGCAGTATCGCGATACAAATGTATCGCGTTTGTATCTTAGAGATACTTTCGAGTATCTATCTCTGTATCGAGATACAATTGAAAAAAATATTTGTATTTCAGTAGTGAATTACATTTACAATGTAGCACTTGTATCGCGATACTTTGCCTGACTTGGGCATCTCGTTACATTTGTTGCCGTTTTTTCGATAAATTTAAAAGATAAAAACATTTGTTTGGTGCAAGTTGCTTCAGAATTTATAATATAAACCCGCCCTATAACATGGTCCAACTCATTCACCAACATAAAAGAAAAACTGTGGTTTAAAAAAGGTTACGAAAAGAATACCAAAATCAGCTCCTCTCACAAAGCCTTCCACTCTCCGATTTAGCAGAGAGAATGCTGTAAAGAAGTTGAGTGGAGAAAAGTACCGCCCTGTTGTCCAATCTCCCCACACTATGGGTGACTGAGAAGCATATAAGACGACAATTTGAGATGCGCCCTCAAGGTAAAGTTGGTTGATTTCGGGCAGACTGCGTTAAAGAGTGCGTACCATGTCAAGCATGGTACGCAATTTTTAATGTTCTGTAATGATGTGGTTCAACAGAAATGACATGTTTTTTTAGCGGCGTTAATGATAAATAAAGAGTTCGAAATAAGGGGTAGTGCATAAAAATGGCGCCAAAACAGAAGCACAAGCATAAATTACCATTCGCATTCGCCACGAACTACACCCTCACCACGTGGCACCGTTCGGGAACAAATGTATTTCTATAAGTATCTGTATTCTGGAATACTTTTTCGCCGTTTCTGCAGAAGCATTTCAGGTATATCCCATTGCATAAAAGACCAATGTATCTCAGTATTTGTATTTGGGCCTTAAAACACATGTATCTCAGTATTTGTATTCCCGAATACTTTTTGGAGTATGTCTGCCCATCCCTGGATGAGAGTTAAACTGATGTCTGTCGAAAAAATTCGAGGATAGTTATTGCCGAAGTGTTTTTTTTTTTTTTTTTTCAAACTAGTAATGCCATATTGTTATTCGGTTTCCTACACTGTTTTTGGCTTTGCTCAAATTTATAAAACTAAATGCACTCAAAATGCATTTTGTTTCTTTTGTATTGATGCACATGGAGGGGAGGAAGAGGATGGAGGAGATTGGTCTGCTTCACTTTGGTGCAGCAAAAAAGGTTCCTCCATGCAAATATGGGCACAAAGTAAAGCAACACATCATTTTGACTAAATGCTAATTTACATGCGCCTGACTACAACCGACTGCGACACTGCCGGTTTTTAGGCCCCCTACGACCAGCGTCAGCCCTTCGAAAGCAGTCGTAAGCAGCTTAAAAACTGGTTTTGTTGCAGTCTGTCATAGTCAAACGCAAGTATGTCATTGGGCCTTAAAGGGTTTCATAAAAATGTGGGATACACGCATACACACACCTCTTTTCATGCTTAACTGCTTTTGGCTGCCTAGATTCGGGCTTGCTCTTCCCCGTACGTGACCGGGAGCATAGTGCATGAGCTGTGGGTGCCCTTCTTGCAGGGTCCGTCAAGGTCTGGGACCCCAGGCAGACGCAGCCAGCGGTCGTCATGGAACCACTTCCCGAGGAACGTCGCCAGGATTGCTGGGCAGTGACCTTTGGTAGGGCGCTGTCTTCTCCATTGCGCGGCTGTGCTCCCTGAGGCTGCGAGTGAAGCGCTGCATTCTTGTGTTTGCACGCAGGAAATGCGTACAGCACGGCAGGTCAGTGCGTCTGTGCAGGCTACGAGAATGGAGACGTGAAGCTCTTTGACATCAGGAACTTCAAGGTTTCGTGGGAAACGTGCATTAAGTCGGGGGTGAGATTTTCGTGTCTTGGCATGCAAATAGCCTTCTAATGCAGGTTGTCTAGAGGGATACATTTAATTTATGACCATTGTAACAGACTCATTGTGAATTCATGTGGTGCTTTCAGCACGCTCTAAAGCACTCTTTTGAGAGGGAACGCTCTCGGAGGGAGGAAAGTCTTCGGAATGAACCACGCAATCCGGTTGCCGCACTCTTTTTCCAGCACCCAATCTGGTGCGCCCTCGAAAGAACGCGAATTCACCATCGGTGAAGCGGGTTTTTAGTTGTGAGGGGCTTTTAGAGTTGTATATCCGACTGCTATGAAACTTCACATGGATAATCCACTTTGATATTAGAAGGCTGTTTATTAAACTATTTAGAAAAAAAAGTTAATTTTCTTTTTGCCAGGTTAGTCTGAAGAAATATATTTTGGTGTCAGGAAAATGCCTTTAGCAACGATTACTTTCTTGTTCAGGAAAATGAGTTACTGTGGAGCTGTACAAGCTTAGCCTAAGTCTGATTCAGAGCAACGCTTTTTCTGGCAAACAAGTAGAATTCATTCTCTAGAGAAGCACTGAAAATTACAATTACAATAAAGTAAGCTTTCAGAATTTATGTGGAATGGCTGTGTTAAAAAGACACTGAAATGAAAATATAAATTTTTGCAAGGGCTTAAATGGGACTAAAGTTTTTCTTAATCTTACTTTAAAAAAAGAAAATGTTTGTGCAATCTTTACGACGCTAGGCGCAATTTAGGTGAAGTTTGCCAGGAACACAACAGAATAGCACAGGCCAAAAGAGGATGCGACGAAACAGCAGAGCGTTAAAACAGCAGAGCGACAGAAGAGCATGGTGCCAAAACAGCACATGTCAAAACGGCACAGCAACAAAACAACACGCACGTAAATGCATGCTGTTTTTTCACTGTAGGACACATTATTAGCAGCACGCACCTGAATTAAGTACTTGCTTCTAACGTGTTCAGCAGGACATATGTATTGCCATTACATTTTATTATCTACCGTTATAGGACTTTATAGTATTTCCTGTGCCGTTATATTTTATTACCTGACGTAAAGCTCCGAGAAAACGCCCACACCCAAGAGACCGCACACCCAAGAGACCGCCCACCCTGTTTTTCTGACTAAATACTTGCAACATAAAAATTTCGAAACATCGCCCACCCCCCGATTTCTGTCGGACGTCACGCAATGTTCGACGGGAATCGCATCAACTGCGCAATTCGCTGTACTGGCGCATCCAACAAGCGAATTCATAGCGGGTTCCCACGTTTCTGTCCGTGATTTGCATGCACGATATCGGCTCCCCTAACATGCGAGTTGTTCCCATGTGTATGTTGCATCGTGAAATGCGAACCTGCTGCGTCCGCAATCTGCGGTATCCGTTTTTCAGACAAAGTTTGTAGAAGATTGCCGCGTTTCTGTGTGCGATCTGCGTGCGCAATCTTGATTCCATGCGGGTTGGTTCCGCCTGTGTATTGCATCGTAAATATGATTCTGCTGCGTTCCCAATCTGCGGTATTTCTTCCCTTAACATTTAAGTTTCTAGCGGATTCCTGCGTTTTTGTTCGCGATCTGTGCGCGCGATATCGGTTCCCGTGAAAGGCAAGTTTCTAGCGGGTTCTTGCGTGGTTATTGCACCATAAAACTTGAATCTGCTGCGTCTCCGATTTGCGGTATTCGTTCCCGTGAGACGCCAGTTCTCGGCGGGTTACCGCGGCTCCTTTGCACCGTGAAAGTCGAGTATGCTGCGTCCGCAACCTGCAGTATCCTTTCCCGTGACATGAGTTCATAGCGAATTTTTGCGTGTTTATCGCATCGTGAAACGCGAATTTGCCGTGTCTGCGATCTGCGGTATCAGTTCCCATGTCACGTGGTTTGTAGCCAGTGCCAGGTTGTTTATAATAATTTTTTATAAAGTTTTCCTGTGGCACCCTCAAAGATAGCCTACCCCGTGTTTTTCACCATTTATCTCTTCATTTCGGGTAGACATTCTTTTAGAACTTTACGGTACTATAGCGTTTTGTGCATGTTCAGTAATATAAAACCTTCCCACCGTGGGCCAATGTAGTTAAATTCCTTGCAGTCTTTTTAATGACTGATTGATTGTTAATTGGTTGACATTTTGTATCGATACAAATGCAGAACCCTATCTAAAGAAAGAATGATGATCACAATTGACTAATTTAGTGGAACTGCTAAAGAAATAGTTTACTTGACATACTTTTGTTTTACATATACAGTCGCCAACCTGTTTTTCAGACTTCGCAGGGATCCAAAAAACGTCCGAATAATAGAGCAGTCCAAAAAATCTGTGGATTAAAAGACTTGCCTTTATTACGTCTAAGTGGGCTTAGAAAAGTCATCAATAGTGCCTTGCTTCAGGTTATGCCTCCGCTTGCATTCAGCCATTTTCTATTAGCTTGAGAATCGCTGCCTTTTTTCTAGCGTTATGGTCGAATGCTTTCCGCGCTTAGCGACGTTTCGGAGCGGCAGAACAGATAGGACCATGACCTCCAAGCCACTGTAGTCTGAAAAATGGTTCACCGAGACGAGATGAGAGGCACAAGTCCACGAGTGCAGAATAGCGAATGAACAAAGCAAAACGGTAACAATAATGATAATGATGCGCAGTTAGAGAAAAACAAAATCGTAGCATAGCGTCACCTAGTGGTAGGACTATGTGCAGCCAACATAGAATGTAAAATGGCACCTTCCCTGCTGTTTCACCCTGATCGCTCGCAACGATTTTCTCCAAAAAATAGAACTTTTGAACTTCAAGTTGTCCGAAAGATTGGTTGTAAACATGCACTACTTGTTTCGGGTAGGTCACGGTTCCTCCTTTAGGTCCGAATTATCGAATAAGTCCGAATTATTGGCGTTCGAAAAATCGGTCGGCAACCGTAGCTTACATTCAGTAAGAGAGTCGACAGCCCAAAAAGGCGTCAGTGAGGGGCTGCGTGCCATGCTGGGACAGGACATTACGTAGTCTTGGCGAAATTCTCCCGTATGGCTTTGAACCCGATATGGGTGCATCCTGTTTGGCCGTCAATCATTTTCTGCTGGGTGAGGCTCTGCTCCGTCTTCAAGGTCACTATGACCCGGTACGGGTCAGGATGTTGAAACCCGAGCGAAGACTGAATCCTAAGGTGTCATGCTTCTATGCATCTCCTGGTCTTAGGAAGCTCGTCTGCAACGCACTCATGGCAGCTCCATTCTCTAAAAAAGAAAAAAAAAAGCAGTCAACGCTGCCTTTTTTTGGGGTTGTCCAGAGTTGTCCCTGTTGTGATAACTCTAAAATAGTTGTATGACTAGGGCTGAGTGGAGTAAGTGGACTAGGTCTAACCCCCACTAGTGTCTGGTGACTCTATTACCCTGTGGCATCAGGTGATCTTCTTCCTGTTTGGAGTGATCAAAGGACACTCCAATAAAATCATGTGACTCCCGTTTTTACAGAATAATGCAACTCCACAATGAGAGTCACCAGATTCCATTTTTGATGGAGTCAGGCGACTCCCCCAAAGCAGCATGCATTTACTAAGTGTGTGCTTTTTTGTTGCTGTGCTGTTTTGTCGCGTGCTGTTTTGGCACATGCTCTTCTGTCGCCCTGCTGTTTCGACACCGTGTTGTTTTGACGTGTGCTGTTTTGCCGCTCTGCTGTTTTGACGTATGCTGTTTTGTCGTGTGCTGTTGTGTCGTGGTGCCGAGTTCACCACTTGCCCTAGGCCCCACCCACAGAATGGTGGCACCACCCATTATTACTGGATTGGCTTGGCTGCTTGGCAGAACACATTCGCAAGCCTTTTTGCGATGTAAGGTGCGTCTCCTGTGCCGTCTGACACCGTCTGCTAGTCGTACGGGCAGACGCGCAGCAGAGTGCGGCTTCGTCCACTATTATAACAGTCTCTACTACTACCGATGGAATGCCCATAAGACATGGCCATGAAAGCAGCGCATCTGCGTTCACCGTCGCTCGCATCGGTCTGCTATTCTGCCTCCGTCTAATGTGGTCTCCGACGATTGCTAGACACAACCATGAAACAGCGTTCTAGTGTTGCATCATGCACAAGGTACTGTTTAGCAGAAGTGTCTGTTGGTGTCCGTCAATGTCCGGTAAAAAGCGACTAAACAATAAAAGTATAAATATAGCTTTTTCAGTTTTCTTTGTCTTCGTTCTCATTGTTTTCTTGCATAGCGTCCGCGAACAAAGTGGGCAAGTGTCATGAAGAACAATTAAAATTTGACCTAAAAATATTCGCTTTAGCAAGCCTGTTGCGGTGCTCAAAACTTGAGAGCTAAGAGCCTTCCAAAGCGAAATGACAGAAACATACTACCTGGACAAGCCTGATATAAGGCAAACACCCGATTGCTTCCAGCCAAATAGCTCGCAATTTTTTACTTGTGTAGGTTACCTCATCACTGAAATCATGGTCGCAATCACGACGGTTGCAGGATTCTCAGAGTAGCAGGGCCACTTTTACAGGAACCAGCACATTTATTCAGCGTCAAAACGTGCAAACAAACAAATTAAGCCAGATCAAGCAAAATGGTTGATGTGGGACGCTAGGCATATGCCAGTCTACTATGAAAACGAGCACTTGCACAACGCTTCCAAAGGCGTGTACTTGGGACAGTTGATGCTGCAAACTAAGTCGGTTGCGGATATCTTCCGCCAAACACGTCGGTGAAAGCGTAACAACTCGCTGTCATAAGAACAGGCGATCTCAACAAGCTATGCGGGCGCTCACCGCAAACGCTGGCGGCCATGTTATCGTTTGAATCCAAAGCGAAAAAACTGTATTGTGATATTTTTGAAAACAAGAATGACTTTATCTATATAGTTTGTTTCTCAAACATAAAAGAAATGTAGATTGAAAGACTATCACGGCACGAAGAAACAATTTTACAACAAACATTCTAGACATCAATCATCTCTCTAGCCATTTAGATCCGAGAAATGGAGTGTAGCCAGCCTTTCTCCTGGGTGGGGCCTAGAGCTGGCTACCTTTGCCTAAATTGTGTCTAACGGCATAAATATTGCACAAAAGTTGTTTTGCGCTGTGAAAAAAAAATTGTTTAATTTCAGTGTTTCTTTAAATTGCAATAATTACATTTAAAAATAAAACATTACATTTTTGTTCAGGACTGCCTTCTGGGTTAACAGGTAACAGGGTTAACTGCATATCTTTTGGGGGCCCTGATTCCTGCGTGCAATGACCCGGCGGTGAATCACTCGCTGAAACTGGTTTCTCGTGCCGCTGAGAGATGGCGCGAGCGACTCGCAGTTGCTGCTGTGTCAGGCTTTTTGAAACAAGCTACTATCCTAGGGCCTCATCGCGTGACCCTCCCCTGGCCCACCTATCACCGGGCACTAAACGGACATATACTGACCAAGGCTTTGATGTTTTTAATTTATTTTCTGACTAGAAAATAGAGATGTTGGTACAGTGAACGTTTGAATATTGCAATGTCCAACAGTCATATATTTCATGACGCATTTTACTCAAGGCACCCTGGAACACTTTGGTGAAAGAAACAAACAAACTTAAAGTTGCTCAAACTGCTAGGTTTTCTCAAACGAGACTTCCCGTATCATAACCTTTAGATTAGCCAAGAGATTTTTTTATGCTTAAGGGCTTCTATTTGTGCTCAATGTTGAATCATGCCAGAAACATGAATGGCTTCTTTTGGACAGTCTCCACAGAATATGACAAATTCTTTTGCTGTCACTCTGGCCCTCTTTTTTTTTTGTTTGAGTTGGTGTTTTCACTGATTGATTCATAGTAAAACCCAGGCACCGTCTTGAGGTCTTCCGTTGCAGATCCATCAGCTTCCTCGATCATGTTGGTGCACTTTTTCCTGCATGTCGTCTCGAACTTGTTTTTGAGGTGTCCTGAAAATGTACCACCTACTCTAAAATTAAAAGATTGGCACTTATTTGAGCGAGCATACTGCTAATACTGCTGTTCAATTTAAGAGGGGAGCATTGCCTTGGCACCTCGATAAAACAATTGGGTGAACTGAGTGGGCCACCCCTGACTCCTGCTGCGCCGGATGCCATTTGTTTTCATACAGTCACCGGTGGGTTACAGCAAGTCTACCTTGCGCAGAGCCTAGTCATCCAGTTCGATTAGAATGGAATCAAACGCAACAGATTGTTTTCTCCCGCATTTACTTTTCTCGGAGATATCGCTCCTGCACTATACAACTGAACCAAATTTTTCGAGGCCACAGAGCTGGCATGCGCGGCGTACCCAGCGGTGACCCACGACGCAGCGAACATCTTAAGGCAGACGACTCATCGAGCAAGCCTCAAACATAACCGAGCGGGCTTGGTAGGTTAGTACCGACCACGCTCGATGAGAGAGAGAGAGAAAACTTTATTGACTCAGGAAATGGGTCAAGGGGAATAGAGGTCATGGTGGTGGTGGTGGGCGAGGGGCCAAAGGCCCATCCCCTCCTGGACGTCCTCTCCTTTATTTAGGTTGGTGGTCCCGTGGTGGCGGTCGGCCGAGGCTTCCCGGCGACCTCTTCCGCCCTTTTGACCCTTTAACCGATAGGTTGGATGCCTAGTATACGTTCCCTGAACACTTCGAGCAAATGAATGAAAGTGGTTTGGTAAATGGGAGGCATGGCTGCACAAAAGACTCCAGTGAAATGCATGAAATCGTGCTTTGGGTTGAGTCGAGAGAAATAGTGCCCACAATATCTCTCGCTTCTTTCCCGTCTCACCTATGGTCTTCCTCATGCTCGCGCGACAGGTGTGCAGCATAGAATTCGACCAGAGGTACATCTACATGAATAAGCTGGTGGTGACCAGCACCGCATCGCAGATCGACGTCTTTGACATGAGGACGCGGCATCCCACGAAGGGCTTTGCTCGGCTCACTACGACGGTAAGACCCCTGCAGTTCGTGGTCGTAAACTTCTCGAGTTTAGTAACAAATTTTGCACCACCGATGCATTGTGTGCAAACGTTAGCTTCTTTTAGAGCGCAGCTCTTAAGCGCCCGTTTCTGTGTTTCGCAGCATCGCCGTCGACATAACTGCGCTAAATTTAGTGGGAAAATTGACGTCACGTGATCTAACACCAATTCAATGGGCCTTTTCTGGAGTTTCCACGGTGCATGCGCAGTAGCAGCAGACAGAAGACAGCCATTTTGGATGGCGTGGTGCTTCCTGCTCAGGACTGCGGGAGGCGGTGGTGGTCGCACGTTTTGAAGTTCTCCTACATGCCCCAACGCTGTTCCATTGTTGGCTGCAGCAATGAGAGCAAGCGTCGTTGCAGGATATGTTTCTTTAGGTTTCTTTTTACTAGCCTGCACCTGACAAAGCGGCAACTGTGGATTCGGGCGATGCGGCAAAACAATCTAAACGGCTCCTAAAGACTGCTTTTAAAGCGCTCCCGTGTTTGCAGTTAGTTGCCACTTCAAAGAAGGCTCATGTTTTTGTTCTTTTATTTGTTATTGGTGTGGAAATACAAGATCAGCAGATTGATTAGGTATGCTGTCGTGTCGCTTATGTGTTGCACAGAGCGAGCGCCTAGGAGTTGACGTTTCTGTGATGGTGCATTTGACTGGCGCACGTTGTTGCTTGCTAAAGTGACAGTCTTGCATTGTCACACAAACTGCCTGTCTGCATTTTGGTTGTTGTAAACATTGGAATCGCCCACGGTTTCTAAATATTTATAAAGCATTGAGGTAAAGTGGCTATGCTGCACAGTTTGTTGCTATGTGCACACCTGGAAAGGGAAATGGGACCACAGCCGCATCTGCTGGTCTTGTGGTTAAATAGAAAGAGGAAACAATCAACTAGATGAGTTGTCTTCATGTATGTATTGAGAAAAGTAATTAGTTTGCAACATTGTCTACAGGCGCGAGACTCAAAACAGACAGGTGTTGCCGATTTCATGTTTTTTCTTCAGGACCTAAAGTCACACACAGCTCTGTCCTGAAGTGAGGTGACATCAATGCCGAGGATCGCTCAGAGATCGGCAGCTGCACCTATACATCTTAAATATTTATTAAAGATCTATTTTAGTGGTGAATTTGACCTTGTGAAATTTTAGCGTTACTCCCAGTAAGAAACGAGACCAACAAACTTGCCAGGGTCAGCGGCGCTTGCAAATGACTTAATAGTACCAAACGTGTCCGCCGTTGACCCGGGCAAGTTTGTTGGTCTCATTTTTTACAGAAATGGAGCTAACTTTGAAATTTCACAAAGTGAACTCCACCGCCAGTGTACACCCTTGATGAAAATTTTACATTGGTACGTGCAAACATAGAGTTTTTCAGATGATTTTAGAGTGAGCCTTCACATTTATGAGAATACACCTCGTCAATTAAAATTTTCGAGCAGGTTAAACAAACCGCTTGCAATTTAAAAAAAAAAGCTTGCCTTAACTGTAACTTGGTCTCAGATACCTTCTGAATTTACTGTCGGTACTGTTTAATGTAACCGTTAGTGCTTTTTTATTGGTCGAAGCTTCAACTGTATGATCAGTCACAACGGGCGCCACGGCAAAGTCCGTCGTCCAATCATTCGGAAAAATGTACAGACGCACGAAGTCGTCCATAGTCAACACATTCAAGCAAATGCTGAGCGCATTTACCGACCGCATTCAGAAAGCCAACATAGCTTGGAGCAGGCAGAGCCGGAAACAAGGTAGGCCATCAAAAACGTCTCTCCTGCTTGCCTATAGAAGGTACCCAACATTTGCGGAAAAGGCCCATTCCTCGCTAAATTTAGCGGGGAATTGAATTGGTGTTAAAGGGAAACTGAAGCGGTTCTCTATTTGAGAAAAAACATTTCAATGGCCTTCATTCTACCTCCAGGATGAGGAATATCAAGATTATTTTTCAATTTGGTGCACGGAGGCTTCAGAAATTAATTTTTAAAGTACCACCGAAGCCCCTCCTTCCCGGGGCGTGACGTCACACTAGGAGCCTTCGGAATATCTGCTCTCGCGCATCTTCAGCGCCTGTCAAAGCTATGCACGCGCACTCTTGCTATTTTCAGAAAGGTCAGAAAGAGACGTCACGACTGGTGTCAGTGCGGGGAAATATACATGGCAAGCTTGCGTTGCACGCGCTGAACACACGAGCGACACGCGCTTGGCGGCCCGAAGATCCTAGTATGACGTCACGACTGGTCGAATGTTTTTTCGCTTTTTCTCGCTTTTAGTTGGATCTTCAGAAAAAACAAAAGTGATATTCAGATTCACGGGATAAAAATACGCCAGAATTCACCTCTAACTCGTTTTTTTCAAGAAGTGTTTCAGCTTCCCTTTAAGGTCATGTGACGTCAATTTTTCCGCTAAATGTAGTGGAGAAACTGAATTTGTTCATAGGATGACGTAACACCAAGTCATATGACTTCACTTTTCCCACTAAATTTAGTGGGGAAACTGGATTGATGTTGAGGTCACGTGGCATAAATGTTTCAGCTAAATTTAGCGGGGAAACTGTGGGAGTAGGGGAGGGTATGTAGGAGGAGGAGGAGAAGGGGAGAGAGAGGAGAGGGTACGGAGGAGGAGATGGGGAGAGGGGATGGAGGGGTAGGAGGAGAGGGTACAGAAGAGGAGCAGGGGCATACCCTTCCCTCTGTGCCCTCCCCTTCCCCTCCTCAAGAGCTGCGCTCTAATTTTGCATTACAGAGATTTGTAAACATCTTTTTTTTTTTTTTTTTTTCTTTTGTTTGACACAACACACATGGTTATTTCCAGAATCCTCATGGTACTACGGTCTGGACGGTGCGTCATCTACCGCAGGACAAGGACACCTTTGCAACCACGAATGGAGACGGGTCCCTCAGCATATGGAAATAGTAAGTTTCTGGTGAAGCTGGTTTCAGTGGTTCTTGAAGTATCTTGAGTTAAAGTGTGGTAAGGTTCTTGTACTAGTCAATGTATTTTCAAAACAGTTTCCAAATCAAATGGTAAAAGGGCGGGTGTAGAGGTTTATAGTTAACAACACTACTTGTGAAGTTATCTGTCCTTGTGGCTTTCCGGATGCTTTTATTCACTACTCTAGCAAAATGGACGATACCTAGCAGGAAAACATCGAGCTGGCCAAAACAAGTTCCTTTGTGATTTCTGCTTTTTACTCTCGTGGCTTCCGTGATCGCATTTTGTTGGTGTTTGGCACGACGACCACCGAAGTGGTTGTGCCTAACGAATTAGATGTTCCGTACATTGCCTCTCATGTTGTGTAGAACAAACAGTTGTCCTGGTGACACTGTCATTACTATGTGTTGCCTAGGTTGCTCTGAACACAACTTACATAACTGCACGAATCAGACATTGTGCGTTTATCAACCTTCATCAGCACGGTAGAAGGATAGTGGGTAGTCCTTCCATCACTCTCCTTAAGAGGATACCGCAGTACAGTTTTATCTATGATTCAAGATATTTTTGAATCTAGAATGTGCCACCATTTTGGCTTGACAAAATACACTTTGAATGCCAATCCAATCTGATGGGCCTTTTGCGTTTTCGCAGATGCCTTTTCCGCGTGAAATGACACCAATTAAACTTCCGCTAGGTTTCCTTCTTTGATGGTGTGTCGGCACGCTGTGCTCAGGGACAACTTTCAGTGGAGAATTCAGAAATGAAGACTGTGTGTGCATGACCTTGATTGGCGCTCAAGGTGGACATGCATTCGGCGGCAATAGCTTGCTTTGTTTCCCCAGAGAGCAGACTCCGAGCCGTGCCCCGTTCAGTAAAGAGCTTCTAGTCAGGGCCGTTTTCAGCGTGCATGTTTCTACTTGCCTTCCAGAACGATTAACGTGAGTGTTCTGGGCTGCGGGGATTGCACGCTGGGCTAAGCGTTTGTACACATACATCGACGTGCAGTCGTGTTAGTAAAGGCTAGTAATTATATTTCACTGGCTAAATTGCTCACTTAAGGCTTATTCACACGATGCATCTTTTCAACGCGCCACAGTTTAACGAAACCAAGATTTCGCGAAATCAGCCAGTTCACACGTGGAGTACAACGCGCGAAACCTGTGACGTATTGACTCACGAGAATTTCGCCAAACCTTGTCATCTGCACCGGGAATACCAAGCGTTTCTCATCAAAATGATATGAAGTACGCACAGTGTGAAGAGACAGCCTGTTTTATTAATACCACTCAATGAACTTCGTCAGATTCGGCTCACTGGGTTTACTAGTCCTGCCAAACCCGGAAAAGACCGCGAACGTCAAAGAACAGGCAGATGATCTCGAAGCATTTCGGACATTTTTGCACCGCTAATAAAGAAAGTTATTCCCAGTCACCAGGTTTATATCCGGTGCTTGCACTCGTCGCGACTATTGATGAATCTGTACCGCGCCACCAACCCGCACTCTAGGCGCCGTTCACACACTTGACGCCGAGTAGGACGTCGCCCGTACGCCCGTACGCACCGCTTCTCCGCTTGTCGCTCGCCATGTTTGTTTATTTTCTTTCGGCTTTGGCTCGGATACGGAATCGGCCGAAAATCAGACTCCTCCAAAAGCTCGCTCCTCCTCGAAGGTCAGACGTCATAGCAAAGTCGAGCGGCCATTGGCAGCGCCCGTGTTTCTCCTTCGGGTGATGGACAGGCCTCGGTGAGGTTTCAGCGAGAAATTGCTCCAGAAGCGAGGAAGACGCGCCACTTTTTTCGGAGGCGCGCCACTTTTTCGGTTGCGTTCAGACGGGGAATCTGTTTCCCGAAACCTAGTTTCGCGACACAAGATTCGCCAACAAGATGCATCGTGTGAATAGACCTTTAGAGGGGCGGTGCAACAATATCAGTTGGAATGCTTTTAACTTTACACGAGTTACTGGCACTAGTGGGACCAAGGTATACTCACACACAATGCCATTGGACAATAAACCTCATTGGCATGGCAACCCAGGAGGGGGGGGGGAAATGGGACGGATAACAGGAAGCTCCAAACACAGCTAAAGTTATGTTAGATCTTTGTTACGGCATAATTTCAAGTATAAAAGCAAGCTTTTTCGTTCAATCTCTTCTTTGCAAAACTTGATGATGTAGTTTGGAGGTCGCAATGTTGGCACAGTCTCCCAGTGACGATATTTGAATTCGGCTCATAGATTGAACCCAAACATTGCGTGGGCACTCGATTTTGGCTTGCAATAATCAATAGCTCAACAACAACCAGTCACATTAATGACATAAGTAGCCGGACCCTAACAATGTGTGGAACTCGGCATGCGTCCTGTGCTTTGCCAACCCCAGCGCGTGGCTAGAATAAACATTGGCGGCACGTAATCGGCCGCAGATCACGGGACCGCTTGTTCTGGCTGCGAGATGAGAAAAAGAATGCGGCTCGTCTTTCTTTAGTTATTTTTTGCAACTACCATTATAAAAGGAGAAAAAGTAATGTGTGTTTCACAACTTCTATATGTCCGGAATTCATTCTAAGGGATTCATTCTACGCAAAGTGCAAAAATAGTTGCATCGCCCATTTACCGTATTTGCACGAATATAACGCGACCACGAATATAACGCGAGGGCAGTTTTTGATGCCCCCAAAAAGAAAAAAAATATTATTACTATTATAATGCGAACCAATGCCGCGTCAATTTCTCGCACTCGGGGGCATAGCAGAAGTGAAAAAGTCAATGGAAATGGAAGAAATATCAGTTTGTTTTGACTGCACTCATCCTCACTGCTCAGGTCCTTCCGTTTACAATCCACTTGGCGACTACCCACGTATGCAGCAGCACGGCACCTGCTTGTCTGGTAGTTCTTTTTTCTTCCGTGGGAGCTCCTCGGCAGCCCACAATCCAAACAAGGCGCGGAAGCAGAAGCACCAACACACAAACACCAGACCACTCTGGAGCAGAAACTAAACAATGCGCAGGCAGAGAAAAAGACTGCTGAACCCGATACACGATCACACTTCTTGTTCTGGTCCCTCTTCGTAAACAAATGCCTCGTGTTGCACGATTGCGTAAACGCGGTCGGTGGTCTTGGCTTGGCTTGTGTTGATTTGACTTGGCCCGGCTTGGCTTGGCTCGAATTGGCCGGTGCCCGCATGGCGCGCGCGCGTGCAGCGTGCGCGCGTTGTATTAACACAAAAGCGATAAAAATGCTTTTTATGTTTTCTATTCGCCCCTTCACGTGCCCCAATAGCTAGAAAATGCCCCTCCACACCCCCACTTCTTTTTCCATTGGATCTTTTGCATTGAGCCGGAGGGATGACTTTCTCCTCTGGCTTTCTCCAGACTCGCGCGCCTCGTGGCTGAACTCGATTCCGAATATAACGCGAGGTGCGTCTTGGAGCACGTAATTTCGGAAAAAAAACTCGCGTTATATTCGTGCAAATACGGTAACGCGTGACCTCGCGCAGCCACATCCCAAGGTAGGCCGACCTCACGGTGCCAAAAGGAATTCTTTCGCATTTAAAATAATTTTCGTAAGCCATGTCTTTTTCTTTTGCGAACTCAAATCGCCCACGTGGCCGAACCTAGACTCGTGGTTTATTGTGGGGGGAAAATCTCCAAGTTTCTTTGTAGGCTAGCAAGCTATTGTTAAGTACCTGCGTGTTGTCGTTTAAAACTTCGTCGAAGTGCAGATGAGGGTCGGCATTAACTTGGTTCGATGCGCGTCGGATGTAGTCCTCGAGTTCACGTCTGATCAAAATAATGAATAACATGTGGCTTTTGGCTGGTAAACTTTTGTAGCCAAGTTCAAATGGTTTCAGTGTACAAACTACTTGTGACTGCCTTCACCGGGACTGTGACGGCCCCGGTGACGGCAGAGCTGTCCTGAATAATGTGTGAATCTTCATTGAAACAAATCCAATCTAAATAAAATAAATTTAATTTAAATAAACAAAAAACAGATTGTGTGAACGTGTTTTAGTGAACTGATATTGGATGTTTGATATTATATTTATCTTACGACTGGCACTTGTCACAGCACCGTGCGGTAATACAATATGGCACATTTTCCAATATTTTATAATTACAACTGACTGGAAGCTTTTAGTTGCAGACAACTCTTGTACTGTGAAATGTTTGTGTTGTTTTGTGAAATGTGCACCAATAACCCTGTTTAGTCTCATGCTCACCTTGGGAGCTCCCCCCCCCCGTGACTGGTGTGAACTCTGGATTGTAAAAAGGGACAGACATTAACTGCGGTCCCTTCAGTTGTGTCTGCTTACTGACACATGAGTGAATGTTTGTTTGTTTGAATTATGTTTATTGATGAGATGAGGGTTCGCCTGTCTTGGTGGGGTGGCCTGAGACAGGAGAGTGAATGAAAGTTTCACAATATGAGCATGTATAGTGTTAACGTCATCACTGGCTACACAAGCCCTGAATAAGGGGGCGGCAGAAGCTCTTTCTGCTGTTCCATTGCCCACTTGTTCTCGGTTATGTTGGCATTGGGTGCCGCGGGCAGTATTGCGGCCACATAATCCAGCTTATTGCTGAATTTCTGTGCGACGTCGGACAGCTAATTTGTGTTTGCACACACTAAAAAAAAAAAAAGAACAGTAGCTTTATATTGTTGATACACCAGTGCCCGTTCAGAGCCCAGAAAGCATTGAGCTTTGGAATTCTTGAACCTGCTTCCACACAGCATGAACATCTTGTCCGGGCATTTCCCTTGCGCCAGTGGTCTTCGTTCCGCAGTGCAATAAAAAATTACTTAAAAACAAAATGGAGCATGGGTGAGAGATCAGTGTAGCAGAAGCTACAAGGGCGAGTTCCGGGCCTGAGCATCTACCGAGCATGCACACTCGTGCAGTGCATGCAGCGTTTAGGGCAATATGTTCGTGCTTGTAGCTTCAAGCTCACTCCCACATAAAGTGAAAAAAAAGCTATGCGGAGGGCAAGTTTGTCTGCTTCTTGCGCAGGGGGTGGCGGTGACGTCAGAACGCCGAGCCCTGATTGGCTGATCGCGAATCCCTATCTGAGCGTCGTCTGCTGCTTTGCAACGTCATCTGCTCGCAACGTCGTCGGCGTCTGTCTTACCTTTCCTGCGACTTTCGGAAGTGCAGAGGCCAGATTCACGAAATGATCTTACTCCAAAAATGTGCGTAAGACAAAACTTAACAACAAATTCGTATTCACGAAACAAAATTTTTGTAAGTTTTGCGCAGGTTACGACGAAATCCTACGACAGCTCCGAAGCTGTCTTACGCACTTCTTACGATCAGGTCAGCATGGCCGACAACATCGCAGTCGCGACGACCCACGGACGTTTATTTTTCTATGTGCGCTTCTCACGCGTCCCGACTTCAAGCTGCAAGAAAAAGTAGAAAGTACTTGAAACAGACCACGACGAACAAGAACGCTGGATCCACAAACTCCCGAGAAAAGCTCCAACGGCCACGATTCCACCGAACGCGACCAAGCGAGCTCGGCAATTAGGCCTAGCAGGCACTCCGCGACTCGGCGACCGTCTGCCCGCGACCAGCTGGCGTGCTGGATGGAATATGCCCACGCAACCCTTGTGAACCCTTCCCGTATTATACTTTGATCGCTGACCTCAGTTTTAGATTAAGAGGTCAATTTCCTCCTCTTGTTATCTTCTTGTTTCCCGAGGCAACGGTGACTCTCGCCGGTGAAAAAGCGGTGAATCTCCGACAGAAGCAGGAAAGGTAAAACAGCCATCGCTTTGACTAGCAGACGTAAAGCAGACAACGTTAACTGCGCCAACCCGCCGACGCCATTAAAGAGTGAGGAGTTTCGCCGCATACGAAAGGAGGGAAAAAATATATTGGAAGGGAACTTGCAGACACTAACCACCCTCACTCTCGGTTCTTAGCAAACAAACCTCGGCGCCTCGGGACACCTCGCCAGTGAGTCCTTTGACTTCCCTCCTTGATGCGCGTCTGCTAGTTGTTAGACAAAAACAGTGTACCGCTCGAGTTATTTCTTCTGCCCTCTCTGAAAGGCGAAGTCGAGCTTGCTCGTAAAGACCTGCACTTCCAAAAGTCGCGGGAAAGGTAAGACAGGCACAGACGATGTTGCGAGCAGACGATGATGCAATGGAGCAGACGACGCTGAGACGGGGGTCGCGATCAGCCAATCAGGGCTCGGCGTTCTGACGTCACCGCTACTTCCTTTCTCATGTGCAGAAGGGACAAATGAGCCCACTTGTGAGGCTTATATGGTCATTCCACACCAAAGGAGATGTGGTAGTATTTTAAGTCTGGGATATGTACGAAAAAATTAATTTGCATAAAGAAGCCTCTGCACTCGGAGGAAAATATTTTTTTTTCGTGAGTAAATAAATTTTATTTTTGCTAATATCATGCTGTAAATTTCTGGAATTTGCATAAAAGCCATGTTGGTAAGAAAAACTGGAAAAAAATGCTTGCATACCAAACAAATTTAGGTGATTGCCCAATTACTTAATAGCATGCTCTATCTTACAGTACAATACAAACATTGAAAGATACACCATTTTGAGTCTAAAAAAAGTAAAAAAAAAAAAGATTTTTTTTAGTCAACATTTTTTTTTTTTTTTTATAAAACTAATAATTGAATTGCATGTGTTAAATTTTCAAAGCCTCATTTTGTTGCGTTTTAATTGAATGACGAAATCTCCAGTTTATGCAGAAACGGCTTTATTGAGAGCCAGAAAAAGCAATGTCAGCATCGGTGCCCGGAACTTTCGAAATAGCCAAAAATTCAATCCACCTCATCTGTTCAACATGTCAAAAAATTAGAATGTTGTTGCTGAGAAATTATTTTTTAAACGTGAGCCTCTCCCACTATGCCTAGTGTTTTTTTCACGTTTTTCTTAACTACATGGGTTTTATGCAAAAATTCCAGAAATTTAGAGCATAATATCAGCAGAAATAAAATTTATTTTTTCACAAAAAAAAATGGAGTTGAGGGTTTTTTTAACCAAATTAATTTTTTTTGTACATATCCCAGACACGAAAAAACTGCCGCTTTTCTTTCAGCATGGAATGACGCTTTAGTAATATCTACGGGGCAGGGCACAGGCACGTGAGCCTATATCTGCCGAATGCTTTTGTCTGTACGAGATTTAGTGCATAAGAGGCACTTTCTCAGGTCGCACGCTCGCAGCCGTGCTTTTGTGAGTACTGCAGATGCTTGCGAGATGGAATATAGACGGAGCGTGCGCTTCTCTTAACTGGATGTAGAAAAACAAAACTCTAGAAAATGCACATAATAGGCCCTTCCATATAAGTGAACCACACCATAATATGGCACTGCACATACTCACTGATTACTGCCACATGGAGTTTAGCGAGCACGGTCACGGGACGGCACCACTGTTTAGAGCCAAAAAAAAAATGTGTTTGGTGGACGAATTTCTGATCTCGCAGGAATGCAAACTTTCTCAATTCATTTCGTAGCAACAATGTATCGAGGAATTCTATTAGCAGATATTGAATCATAGATACATCTTACACTACAACGCAGTACTACGAGTGGTGGTATTTATCTTTTACTAATTTAATTTCTAGGATGCTTGGAAGTAGAAGCTAAAAACGAATGGATTTTTTTCTCGGAATTTGAGGCTCTATAAAATAATCATGAACGCCAAATCTAAAGGTGTAATCCCGCGAAGGTGTTAAGTTTTTTTATTATTTCTCGATTACGATTACCCTGACACCAATAGGTTCAGTAGCTGCTGAGAATAAGGACCGAGAAGTTGGTATGCGAAGAGCAAGTCGTCTGCTTCTTGCACAGGAGGGTGACGTCAAAACGACGCCGTGATTGACTTTGATTGGAAGGATATTGGGTAGGCCTGAAATGCTATATGTCTCAGGGTCTACCCACTATTTTTTTTTTTTTTTCACTTAGCCACTTAAAGCTTGTCGTTCTGACATCATTGCAGCCTCTGTGCAAAAAGCAGACAAACTTGCGCTCCGCACAGGAAATGCATGGGCTCTTCTACTATAATATCCTCTTCAGAAGACTAAGCCATTGAAGCTCACTTTGATTGCACAGATTTTTAGCCATTACATGGATAAAAATTTTATGAACAATTTCGAAGCCAATATGTCTGCTTAAATCCTAGCATTGTGCTTTGAGCTGGCACATGGCCCGCCACAACCTCTTTTCGGCCGCCATATTTGTCGAGAGTGGCGACCCCTATAGGCTGCTGGAGTTATGAATAATGGGCCTTGTGTCAATCAATTCTACTTGCCGTAGGTTATATTAGGCATCTCTCTCTTCCCTCTGACCTGCTGCGCCTCGATTTGTGCAGCTGCTACCCCGAAAAGCGAGCGTCCGAGGGCACAGACGGGTCGGTCCAGGGAGTTATGGGGAGCCTGTCCCTGCTGTGCGACACCAAGTTGTCTAGTCAACCCATCACCGGCTTCGACTGGAATCCCCACATGCCCGGGCTTTTTGCCCTGTGCGCCCTCGACCAGACGCTGCGCATAGGCTTTGTCGCTGGCCTCGACTCCTGACTGGGCCCGTGACTTTTCTTTGTGGCGGTCTCCATGTACATAGTGCACAATAAACCCTCTATTTTGAACCAATGAAACGCAGTTGTTCAGGTTCACTGGACACTTTTTTTTGTCACTCCAGGTTGTTTCGTAACGGTTGTGGTCTGGTGATTATGTTTTATTTCCTTACTTTCCAAACTTTGGAAGCAATTAGTACAATATATTTAGGGCCTTTCGTTTTTGGGTTTTATGTTTTGAAAAAATTGGGGGATAAAACTTGGGCCCTTTGTTTCAAGCTGGTAATCGTATTGAAATAGTGTTTTTCAAGGAAGTACTCTGGAGTTTGGGTTTTTCAGGTTATGTTTAGAAAAATATAAATGGGCGATTTCCTCTAAAATGAAGCACGCGTTTTGGGGTCGGTATTCTGATTTGCCTAAAAAAGTATATGCAATAATCTGATTGCTTCACCATTTGCGCCAAACTGCACCAAAGACTTTCCCTGCTACATCCTGCTACATCTAGCTCAAATGTGAAGAACTTGTGCCAATATTGCGCCAAAACTTGCCCCGCTACACCTCCGGATCCTTATGGTAGGCTTGTGCGAATTTTCAGAACTTTCGAATTTCACCACAAATAACGTACTATCCTATCTGATATCTGTCGGTGTTAATCACTGACAGTACTCAGGGTTTTTGCAGTATCTCTTTTGTTCCTAGTCTGCTCTCGCATGAAAATTAGCTTTCTTGAGTGCGTTTCTCACCATGCTCTTGTGTACAGCAGTGAAGCGGCAACTGCAAAGTAAGCATTGCAATTTTGCTTACCTTGCTTCGCCCCAGTGCATCTGAAGGCTAAAGGGAAAGCATTCCCCCAGAGCAGGACGTTAAACAGCGTATAGTATATTGAAATAAGGAACTTCGTGAGTGTTAATGTTAAACGGCTCTTAGTTGGAGTAAAAATTTCTTAAGTAAACAGGCAATTATTTAGATAGACTGAGGTATTCTGGCTATATCTTCTTCAAATTCGGGATTTAGCGAGGGTACTTGCAAGAAAATTTATATGAGCTGCTGTCTAGGTGTATTTTTGTTTGAACTCTGTCGTAGAGCTGTCACCTTTAGGTATGCTTTATACAATCAAGGTATAGTCAATATAATAAATTAAACTTGGCTAGGTGAAGCATTAGAAGGAAGCTTGGGAATAATCTTAACGACTTCGGCTGGATTTTTTATGTAGACATACCAATCACATGCCAATCTATTATTATGAAGATCTACATCAAAATGTCCTAAATTTTCATAAATTAATGACAAAATGTTTTTTTTAATCTGAATGAAAAATTTGTTTGTTTAGAACTTAAATGAAACATCAGTTTGTGTTCTCAAAATTATTCTAACATTATCTTAGTGGAATATGACCTTTCACAGCAGTCTTGTCCTTCATCAGTCACCATCTTGCTGCTATGCCTAGTGCTTCTATCTGCTACTAAAAGAGCTAGTTCCATGTTTAACGAAATGAAACCTGCCATTGCGCGGAATTGCGAAGGCAAAGCATGCGCGTCTTTTTAGTTGTATAGGCCAACACGAATCTTAACATATAATATTCACGGTGGTAGGAATAAAAATGAGGTGTGTGCATATGTGCTCCTATAGTAATTTTTGCTGCTCCATAATGGCTTTTTGGCTACTCCAAAAGGTGCTACAAAATGACTCTGGTCAATCATATCACTATATATTATAGGCTCATTTCTGCAATAAACAAAAACACTTTTTCCAATATTTTTAGAAATAGTATATTTATAAAAATATTGAAGTGGAGCAAGGTGAAATGCTATGTTTAGGCTGCTTCATTTTTGTTCCCAGTTCTGTCGATTGTTATAAATAGGTCAAAACGAAAACACTCGCAGTAATTTTTTTTAATGTTTGTAGTACTTTTTTTCTGACATATGCATGGCCTACTTTTTCTTTTAATCTAAACTTCGTTGGCATATTTCACGCCAGAAGTAAAAAAGAATTCCAAATATTGCATCTGGCATTTTGGCAGCATATTTGAAGCTTTGTATCTTAGGATTCATTAAACATTTTGCTTATTAACTACTATATGCCTGTAGAACTACATACATGTGCTATCGACTGGTACCACTTTAGTTTTCATTTATTTTAACAAAATTAATAAACCTTTAAATTGCATCAAAAAGTAAATTTAGTCATAATTTGAGCCTACATTACTGAGGGGGGGGGGGGGGGCATTATTTATTTCATATATTTGTTCCCAATTTTGTTTACGTTGTGTGCGAATAAGTACAGTTTCCCCTCTTTTTTGTGTATTTTCTGTAGAAGTGGTTAAAAACACACACACATGCACCCGAATCAGAAAAAGGGTAGTTTCACAAGTTGACTTTACTGCAAGGTTTTTAGCCCTAAACTGCTAAGGGCAGGGGTGCCGGACACATTTGGTAGGTGAAGGGGCGACGGGGTGAGCGAGCTAAAACAGGTATTTATTTTTACCAAGGAATCGCCTGCCTTGGCCAAGTAATCCTGAGGCCTAAGAGACTACAAAGGTTGGGGTAAGTGATTACGTCAAGACTAGATGGAGAAATCGGTACCAGATTTTATGTAATCCACCAGTAAATCGAGCCTGGCTTTCCTGTGCTTCGGTGAGCTCTTGGGTCGGGCCCACCCGTCTACCGTCCTCGGTCTGTCATTTTGTTTTTGGAAATTGTGGTAGAGAGGGGAGAGCGTTATGTGGACGAGCCCTCACTAAGGGTCTATCACACCGAGGCAACAGTTGGACAACTCTATTCGGCAGCACGAGGGAATCGTGTTGCTGGCGACTGTGACATTGCAGCAGCAACAGTTGGGCAACATGTGGCTGCCACCTGGCAAAATGAACAAACCGAACCCGAAAGCTTGTATTTTGATACGCACACATTGGCGATGGGGCTAAACAGTCTGCTTCAGTGAAAAAGGGGGTGAAAGAGGCAGAGAGGAAAATGTGGGAGGGGACAATGCAGGAGAAATCAGCTTTAACAGTGTACAGGTCACGAAAGCAGGACATAAGAAGGGAAAAACTGTTTTACAATTCACTGGGAAGTGCTTTGCTGTTCGAGTCAAGAACAGGAGCAACGAACGGGAGGAAGCAAACGGAATGCTGGAAAGGAGAGGAGGAAAGCTCCTCCCGGGGAGGGGGTCTCCAACGTTTCGTCTGCTTCCTCCTCCCGAACCTTCCTTTCGCTCGAAAACTTTTGTTAACCTGTAATTTCAGGAGACAGACACATATGTGCCGCCTGCCATAATGATAGCGAGACACTAGAGCACTTGGTTTTGAAGTGCACGGGGCTTCGCCCTGCCCTCCCTGAAGGGGTAACGGATTTGGCCGTGGCCCTGCGTTTTACTGGTGACGACGGAAGGATGGAAGAGAAAAGTATTACAGTGACAAAGAGACGATTAGAAGAATGGTCGAAATTATGTAGGGAAAATTAAATGATGAACAACTAACTAGCACAACTGGGGACAGAGGAAAATTGGGACTCCCTCCCTCGTGGCTCCGATCTAGTCTCTCAACCCTGTCTCCCAGTGGGTCCGGTGCTGGGGTAACGCCGACAAGGTTTGACCAGAGGAAAATTGGCGACTCCCTCGCCGGGGGAAAGAGACGGGGGGGGGGGGGGGGGGGGGGTGATGTTTTTAGTTCTTTTTGCCCGATCCCCTGAAGGTCATCCTGGTTATATCCCACACTGTCTGGTGATAGTTAGGGGGAGAAAATTGGTCTTAGAAGGGCAGGAGGAGTCACGTTTTTGTCTTTTAAGACTTAGGCTACGTGGTGCAAGCTACCGCCCGTTACAAAGGATATAGTCATTAACATTATCCATTCAAGTATCGGCAGCATCGGCAACGGACGTAATTTCGAAAGCTCCCGAAAATAAGTATTTGTTATGTTTTCTTTTATTTAGGTAGTAGAGACAGGCAATAAAATAGCTTTTTTTTTTTTTTTTTTTGTAGGCACGGGAGTTTATCAACGGTGCCACATGACGGGGCCACGTGGCTTTGTTTGAATGGTTGGCGGGATGGGTAGCGGCATTGTTTAGAATAGACACGTGGGGAGAGCGGCATATAGGTTTGCCCATTTCATTTATCGAGTAGATATCGCATAAAAATGGGAATCGGCTAGATTTGAGCAGCGTGGTGTACCACGCTGCTCACGTGGTGTACCACGTGTTCGAGTTTTATGCCGAATCAGGCTGGGCTCCGGGAGTAGGGAAGAATGGCGAAGAAGGACGTTCAGGTACAGTGCGGGAGTGTCTGATCTGGGTTGATATGTCGGAAACTAGGTTCGAGAGCGCTGAGGAAGCGGAGGCAGGAGACTTTCTATGCAAGTTGTGCGTCTTACAGGCGCGTCTAGACCGGATGGAAACCGAGAACACGACAATGGTAACGCGCATTGTGGAACTGGAAAACCAACTGAGAAGGGAAAGAGACGAGCGACAGGTGCTGGTAGAGAGTCTGAAGAACGTAGTGGGGAGTCGGACTGAGACGGTCGCCCTGAACGGTGATGGAGGACAGGCTGAGAAGCAAGATGACAAGGCGCGGTCGGTCACCAGCGTGGGCGACGGGGATGGGGACGACGACGGTAGCGTTAGACAAAGCTACGCGGGGGCGCTGACGCAGAACAGCCAGAAGAAGAGAAGGGAGACAAACGTGGTGAACCAGACAGGGCAGTTGGCGGGGGGCTCGACTGGAGCTAGCCCAAGTGAGGAAAAGAGGGCCCTTGCAGTTGGAAGTTCAAACGTGAACAGGTTCAAGGCAGGTCTTGCTTGGAAGGTAAAGGAAGATGAGAGGGTCACAGTGCAGGCATACCCGGGTGCCTGCATCGGAAAGGTTACAGAGGGGGCAAAGAACCACTTATGGGACAGCATGGACGGGCAGAACCTGGTGGTGGTACACGCCGGGCTGAACGACGTTTTGCAGGGAAAAGAACAGCAGAACCGGCAGAGACAAATCGAAGCTGGGGTGCAGAAACTGAGGGCGACGGCTGAAGGGGGCCAAATCGTCATGCGAACGATTCCGGAGATTCAGGGGCAGAGTGTAAAAACGGAGAGGAAG